ATTATCATTTTAATAATTTATTTGGGATTCATTTGATCTTTTTAAAAAATTTGAAATTGTAGTTGCAATTAATTTTTTATTTTTGTTTTTGTTTTATTTAAAGAGAATGGTAAATTCGTCATTTCACAATTTTTAATTGAGAAATGGCGGGAAATGACCTTTGAGACAATGAAAGGTGAAAATAAGGATAAAAATACCAAAAAAATGAAAGGTAATGACGCATCCCACAATAACAGTGAAAAGTCGGGACGTTATGTGTTAATTACACACTGCTTAATATAGAATGTCATATGATCACCTATGAATCAAACTATTAGACATCTCAATCGTCTATTTATACACTCCTCCTACCTCAAATCCATATGTCATATCCTAATCTCAAATCCAATTACATCAAATCTCACCCTTTCTCCCCAAACCATGGCTCTTCTAGTGTGAAAACCACCTTTGATTGCGAGTACAAGGTCAAAGACATGTCCAAAGCCAATGTCCTACCGTACAGAATTTGGTTCTTCCCCTATCCTCAGCCCTTCAATGGTGTTGAATCACTGGCAGCCGTCACGTAACCATCCAAACCGACGTATTGATTAGAACTTGACTACTTTGGGCGCTGAGGTGACATGATGCTCATGTAACATCTTTTCCACCCAGGACCACTCTGTGGCAATTATTACTAAGGATAGTATGGTGATGTTAGCCTAGAAAGGTAAAACACTCCACGAGTATTTGTGGTTTAACATACGGGCTCTCGATTGAATACATGGTATGGATCATGCTACTCTCCTCATTCATGAAGGTGTTAGGGGTTTGGAGGTTGGGGGAGGGAGGGTTTATAACATATTCATTATGTTGTTTAATAATTTAATTAATTAATATGGTATAAATCAAACTAGTTAATTTTTTAAGGTATTGAGCCTAATTTGCCCTTATAGTAAACGAACCATAAATCCCACAAATTGTAGCCCTAGCTCAATCCACATATAATCCACCACAACTTAATTTACACAACCCAACCCAATGAACAACAACCCATATATCATACTACAAAGCTCGAAATTTTTTTAGCCCATGACCGATAAAGCAATAATAATAATATAAATAGAAGCAGCAATTGTAAAAATGTCTGCCAACAAGAATTTGTTTGCCTTGTCTTAGTTTTAGCTTTTTATTGGTTAAAAAAACAAGAGATGGAAAAAAATAAGAAAAATGAAAAAATAGTAATTTTTTCCATATCTGCAGCTTTAGTAGCAACTTTTTGATGTGAAATTTGATATATATTGAGCAAATGAATTAAGTATTGCGTAAGAATGAGTTGATTTCATAGTTTGATAGGTTGAAATAGTGGACCATAGATACTAAATCCAAAACCACTACATTTTACATTCTTAGACCAAATTTAAAAATTTTGGGGATTTAACTGTTGTATGAAGATATTGAGATAAATTGGAATCTCATATATGAAATTAAAAATCTTATTTGAATTGTTTGAGGTCAATATGATGGAATTTGGTGAAAATCTCAAGTTAGAGATCGTTTCACTTGAATAGGTGTTTAATGAGGGGTATTGACTTAATCAATGCATAAAAAACTCATTTTATTTGAAAATTTCTCTTCGTAGCCTTTATGACTCAAATTATTAAGCCTATAAAGGTGTTAAAACATATTGCCCTAAAATCAACTGACTTGGGAGTCATCAGTCTAAAGTTTGTTACATGCGTCATTTAGAAAGTTTAAGAGAGAGAATGCTGTAAATAAAGAAAAAAAGTGTTGAAAAAAGTTGAGAAAAAATATAGAAAAAAAGTAGGTGCATGAAACAGAAGACGCACCAAATGCCTTAATTAAGTCTCAAACTCTTGTTTAAGAAAATTTGACTTTTGATAAGAGATTATTAGCCTAGTTGAGTTTTGGAGATTGAAGCAATCAAACTGTGAAGAATCCTTATTTATTGATATATCAACTTGCAATTAGTAAGATTTACCTAAACTAGAGAAGTGGAGATATTATAAAAATTCAACATTAGGTCACACACTTGAAAAGATCAAAAAGAATAAGTTTGGAGGCGTCTTAAGAGTGATGAAAAAATATATTTGACCATTGAGGGCCGAGAATTGAAACAACTTATGAATTCATAATGTTATGTTTAATTCGTCACATACACATCGATTTTAAATTAGAAAAGTAAGTTTTAATTTATGTATTTTGATTTTGAATTTGTGCATAGATTTGATATTATGATTTCAATCCTGAGATAAGAAGCAGGTTAGCTAGCTAAATTTTTTTCCCATTCCTTGATTGACTGGGCACCAATTAAGTAATTATTACTGTATGTTTGTGTATTTGCTAGATTTTAGTTTTGTTTGAGGACAAACAAATATTCAAGTTGTGGGTTTGACAAGTGTAGTTTCTACACTTATTTGAGATCATAAATGATGATATTTTATTATTCTTTATATAAAATACTACATAACTTGTGTTGTATTGCACTTTGTAGGTAAAACTTAATATTTGATAAAGAATTGAGAAAAGAATGCAAAAATAGTGAAAAATGGTGAAATCCAAAAGTTGATGACTAAATTACAAACAATTCATAGATGTGACGGGCAACGAAATGAAGATCGAAAATACCAAACATTTAATTTGATACAATTGGAATATAAATGAGCAAGATTGCAAAAGAAAGGGGATGAAATGAAGCAAACCCAAAGTTCGGGGACTAAAGTGAAACTACTAAAAAATTGCGTCAAACCTCACGATAAAGATTTGAGAGTTTTCGGGGGTCAATTGAATTAGGAAAGAAATCAAAGGGATAAAGTATAGTCAAAGTATTATCACACATCAACTTTTAGCCGAAAAAGTTGTACTTCAGATTTTCAGCCTCACATTGAGACCCAATTTTGACATAACAAGCTTTCGAATTGAAAAAAATGATATTTCTATAAGAATTGTACCCCTCGAAGTTAACTTTTCAATGCACTTTTAATTACCTCAATGGAATATTGGGAGAAAACGTTATGACAAAAATACTTAAAACTGTTCAGCTATTGGAAATTAGGCGAGGCGCGCCCTCACTTGCAGGGGAGGCGCACGCCCTAATCAAAAATGGGGCGACTGAGGCATAAAAAAACCAACTAGACGTGCGCCCTAGATATGCCTAGGCGTGTGTCTCAGTACAAAAAGAGAAAAAAAATCTGCTTTTCCTTATTTTTGTTTTAATAGCAATTTAATGCAATTTTTTGGCATCATTTAATACCAACCTCGACCAGAAGGTGGGAGGGCCATTCGACCTAAATTTTATCATATTCTACATATTTTGGAGGTGAATAAAAAGACTATACATCAATTCAAGGCGAATCATACAAAAATTTTGAAGATTCGTAGCCCGGTTATAAAATTTGAGCAAAAATTGTGGATTTCTCCTATTTCTTCCATCTTTCTTATTTTCAGGTGATGTTTTTCCAATTATTCTTGTGTAATTTAATTATATGAATGTAAGGTTATGTTTTTCATTGTATTGGATGAATAATGAACCCTATTGTTTATTTATTTTAATTCAATACAATTAGTTTAGTATTTCTTAATTTTTCTTGGTTGGTTTTGCATTATCATTGAACTATTTGATTTATTGATCACCAATTATATAATATGTTGCTTGTTGTAGTAGAGGAATACTCACAATAAGTTTAGAACGCGGCAAAATCAACACATGTGCAATATGTATTAGGAATAATATCTATGGCATGTGTGATTTCATGTGTGATAAATCATGTGAATTAATACATGTTTTTCATATGAATTTGGACTAGGAATAAGATCAGATCATGTTAAATATAGATTTAATATATCTTGAAAAAGAATATTGAATAACAGTGGATTATTGATTCTCTTGAACTCCTGAATTTACTAGATTACGAATTAAGAATTGAATTAAATGGCAATAGGGGAGATCGGGTCTGTTAAACATATGTTTAATATATCTTGGAAAAGAATATTGAATAACAGTGGATTATCGATTGTCTTGAATTCCTGAATTTACTAGATTACGAATTAAGAATTGAATTAAATGGAAATATGGGGATTCACAATTCAAATACAAACATTTACATATTAAGTGCCTGTTTGGTAGCAATTTTGGCCCGATTTTAATTAAAACTGTGACCGTTTAATGTTGTCGTGGGACCCGCATGTGAGAGGGCCAGTCAAACTTTGCGGCTGACTTTGATGTTAACGGGTCAGAAAATTCATTTTTTTGGTAAAAAAAATTGTTACCAAACAAAGCCTAAATAGATACTTTATTTGTTTTGTTAGTTTATGATTGATATAAATTGCATATAAAACATTTCTTTTGATATCACTACACTTCGAATTTAATAGTAGTTATTGAATTACAAATTAGACATTATTCATCGTGAGAACGATACTCTTAATCAACAAATCTTATTACTTGTACAACAATTTCGTACGCTTGTAAATTTTGTCCGAACAACCGGCTTGAAAGATAGCCCGATTTGGCCACCTTTTCAGTGTAAAGCAATTTTCAAACCTCAAAATGGTGGGAGTACTTGAAAAAATAATGATAACATCCTCCTTGGGTTTGAAGGAAATCTTATAATAGGGACAGGGAAGCCGAGCTGCACTGCCAGGCCCGACAGTACAAATGTGAGACAGGGGGTGTGTGGGGAGCGGGGGAGAGGGGGTTTAATGAGGTGGGTCCTCTCGTGTGAGAACGTTTGCTCTAAAGTGCCTGGTATAGCATTATTCTTCAATTTATAGTTTTCTCAGTTGTCAACTTATTTTTTTGAAAGAGCAACTTTTAAACAGTTTTAAAAATAACTTTTAAACATAATCTAAACAAGCAGAGATAATAGGATGCAGATATGGATAATATAATTGAAGGGAGAAATAAGCAAATACAAAGTGTATCTTTTTTTTTTCAGAGATCAAAGATCAAACTCCACTACAATTTATTATATCAACAAGGACAAAAAACATGGGTTCTGTAATCAAGGTTTTGAAATGCTACTTTCTTCCTTGTTATTTGCAGATTGATGCCTAAAAATCCACTTCCAAACCTTGTGCCCTTTGCTCCCTTTCTTTAATCCTCTCTCATTCACTGTTATTCTACAAGATCCCCCACCGCGTTTCAGATTTGCAAGAGAAGTTCCAGATCGATCAGACTTCTTTGAAAAATCAAATTTCGTTTCTGCTGATAAATCAAGATTCAGATCAATGAAAGCTGATTCATCCATGGCACTGAAATCACTTTCTTTAACTGGATAAACACTCCTTGTTGCAGTGCCAATTTCAGCATCAACCCCACCACTGAATCCACTTTTTCTTGGCTCAAATCCACTTTTTCTTGGCTCGGATTCTGAATCCAGGAAAACCCCACTTGTGACATCAGAGATTTTTGCACTTGAAAATGCATAATCGCTGGCTTCGTCCCGGAAACTGCACAGTGACCTAGACGTAGAAATACACATGATATCAGAAACCCATGTTTCAGTTTTATCATCAAAAGATTCAAATTCACCATTTTTCTCAAAAGCCCTTTTGCTTTTTTTCTTCTTAAATAACCATTTGATCTTCCACAACCCATTACTTTTCTTTACTTCAACACAACTGCTACTGCTCCTCCTCAGTAGAATCACCTCTTCTGATTTCTCCTCGACTCCTTTTCTTTTTATCTTTAAATTCTTCAGCTCATCAGTTTTTTCATTAAACGAGACTCTGCCAACACTTCCAAACTCCATAGTGCTGCATGATTTTCTGTATGAAGAAATATCTGAACAAGAACATAAAGAAAGACGCTGCTCTCCGCATTCTGTACACACCAATTTAACAAGCTTTTCTTTAAGGCAGTAGGCACAGATTCCAACAGAAGATGGAGATGGGTGTTTCCTGCAAGGCATTTCTGATGCAGAATAGTTGAAATCTGAATCGTTGTTGTAGATTTCAACAGCTTTGCCTCTCTCTTTCATGGCTTCTGGTTTTTTGGCTTAAAAGAAAAGCAAAGAAAGATCAAATTATGCGAAGATTTGATGAAAAAAATTGAGATGGCTACAAGAGCTATCTATGGCTGTGTAGATTGTAGGTAGGCTTCGGTTGAGTAGTACAATTTGAGAAATATGAATACGAAAAATTCTATTTGTCAAAACCTCCATTGAACAACTAGCTCATATGAATACATCATTGAATGTTGTCCTTGTTTCAAATATTACCTGCAAGGTAAAAAAAGTTCAGAATGTTAGGATCGAGAGGAAATTGCAAAAAATGTCAACATTTATGTGGTGATTTGCAAAAATGTTCAAAATTTATTAGTATCCATTTTACTATAATATAGACCAAAATATCTTCATTAACAATTTTAAATTTCACAATGAAGACAAAATTATTTATATAATTAAGAATTATATTGATCAATAATAACTTGAAATATAACTTATACTACTCATTTTAAAGAGTACCATGTCAATCATGCATTAAATGCTCACTTCTCTCTGCAAGTGGGTAAATAAAACATTTATGGAATGTCGAAAATGTCGAGAAGTGCACTTAAAATGTCAAGAATATTATGAAATGTAGAGAACTTTTATGTTCAAAACGAAATCTCTTTCTAAACAAATGAAGTGGTAAGTGTCATGATAAATATGATCCAAATGTTGATAACAATTTTTAAACTGTCGAGAAAGTCATGCAATGTCAAGAATAACAACTATTAAACATAACTTATCAACAAAAACAAGATTTCAAAGAAAAATTACCTTCCATCGAGAATTGTAGAAAACTTAATCAACTACAAATTTGGATAAGATTAATTTTTTGAAATGAAATTATGGCCCTGTTTGAGCCAAATTATTATAGAATGAGAATGAAAAATAAAGCCGTTGTTGGGGCCCACACAAAATATATAAAATTTGAATTTAAATGTTAATGTGATGGATAACGGACATATTTTTCATTTTAATGAGATGATAATGTAGATCAAACGGGGGCTATATGATTTTCTTATGAATTGAAGGCATATAATTTTTTTTAAGTGTTAATGACTTTTCTACTTCATTTTCTTTAATTTTTCCCAAAATTTTTGGTTAATATCTAATAGATAATAAAAACAAATGAATCCATAGATATTAACTAGCATTAATGTAACTTCACAAGGATGTTATTTGTTCTTCTTGAAATTCTTGACAAATTGAAAAAAAAAAAAAAAATCATTTTTCATTAATGGTATAATAGACAATTTGATACCAAATTTGACCATTTTTGCAAGAGTTATTAAAATTAGACATTTTTCAATTGACAAGTATGGAATTGGCCATTTTTGTAAATTCCCTTAGGATTAATAATGCTATTTATACATTCTTTTCCTTACATGTACATTGATATTCTATTTGTTTTCAAAAATTCGTGGACATATTTTTTTCTTTAGGAGAATTTACAAAAATGGACAATTTCATGCTTGTCAACTAAAAAGTGCCTAATTATGATCACTTTTACAAAAATGGCCAAATTTGGTACCAAATTGTCTATTATACCCTCATTGAAAAATGAAGCAATTTTTTTTTTCCAATTTGTCAAGAATTTCGTGAAGAAAGAGTGGCTTCCATGAGAAGCTACATTATTGATAGTTACCTAATGGATTCTTTTACTTTTATTAACTATTAGGTATTGATCAAGCATTTTGAGAAAAAAATGAAGAGGATGAAGTAGAAAAGTCATTAGCACTAAAAATTAATTATATGCTTCCAATTCATAAAAAAAATCATATAATTTCATTTCGAAAAATTTAATCTCATCTAAATTTATAGTTGATTAGGCTTTCTACAATTCTCGGTAGAGAGGAATTTCTTTTTGAAACCTTGTTTTTGTTGATAAGTTACGTTTAATTGTTGTTATTCTTCACATTTCACGGCGTTCTCGACATTTTAAAAACTGTTATCGACATTTGGATTATGTCTATCTTGACACTTCATTGATTTAGAACGAGATTTCGTTACGAACAAGAGAGTTCTCTATGTTTCATAATGTTCTTGATATTTTAAGTGTATTTCTCGACATTTCATAAATGTTTTATTTACCCACTTATAGAGAGAAGTGAGCATATAACGCATGATTAACATAGTACTTTTTAAAATAAGTAGTATATGTTACGTGTTGTTAATGAGGGCATTTTGGTCTATATTATAGTAAAATGGACATTGAAATTTTTTTGATAATTTTTGCAAATGATTATGTAAAAGTGGACATGTTTTGCGATTTTCGATTTTCTTTAAATTGTTCAATGATTTGTTGTCACATGATACAATGTAAATGATGTAAAATATAATATATATGTAGCATGATTTTATTAAGGTAAGATTTTCCAACATTTCACTGGTTGTGGTAAAAAATTCTTATGTGATCGAAAATATTAACATGAATGTTAAAATTGTACGTGATCTTCATTGAATTTATGAAAAATGTTAGATGATTTCAGGCGAAGAGTCAGGAATATTGTCCGGTACGGACACAATTAAATCAAAGTTGAATTTTGATTTTTCGGGGGCCTAATATAAATTTTAAATTTGAGCTCTTAAATTAAAGTATGCATTATGCATTCAATTTTTTTAAACTAGTATAGAAATTGAAAACTCAATAAACCAATAAACAAAATGAAACGCATCCAAAACTTTATTTAATACACAAAGAAAGTAATATGTAAATGCACATTCTACCTATAAAATAAAATTAGGAACAAATATATCAAGTTTTCATATGCATGCTATTAAATTAACCATGATTCACTCCAATTTCTAGCCTCCATCTAATAAAAAATAATTAAATAAACTTGATGCGAACCTTTTACATAATTTTATGCTTTCTGTAGCTATAGTAGAAAGCTTAAAGGTCTTAATGCAAATTTCATGCCTAGATAAAATCTTGAGTTTATCTAACTTTTCATTTCTACCATCAAATAATCCTCTCTGTATGCATATACTGCTGCCATTGCAACCAATAATGAGTGGTGACTTCTCTTCCTATCTCTAACTCTTTCTACGAATGTGTACATATATGTATAGCATATATATACATGAAAAAAGTTTACGTTGCTTCTTGCCCTTTTCTTGTTGGTGATTCTCGCTCTCTCTCTCTAACTCTCTATTTCTCTCTTTAATTCTCTCTACCTCTACATATGTACATCGACAAACACAGGATGTTGAATTTTTTTACTTGAGAAAACTTCAATGTAGACTATAGACACTGGCCTTAGGGTGACTCTGCCCTCGAATGATTTGATGGTTGTATCATCCAACAATAACACCACATGAAATGTTGAGGAGTCCTTAATTTTTTTCAAAATATTATTATTACATTGTTAAATTTGATAATTTAGAATTTAATTTGGGTGTTGACTTGAAAAGGATAAAATGGTGAACAATTCACACTCATTAAAATCGATTCTTGTTTTTCTAGTCAAATAAATAAAGCTATCCAATTTTTATACAATAATGCTGTCTAACATCATTTGTATTGAACATCAATTTAAATGTTAGCATATCATAGGTTCTATTAAATGAGAATTAATCTACTTGTTCCATTTTTCATTGTACAAGTAGATGGACAATGTGTTATGTGTTAAGATCATTGTTATTGATTTCAAAAACAATTTCTTTAATAGACAGAATGCCTACCAATTTATATATTGTCAAACTAATTGGACAAGTAGCATGACTCATTAAATGAATTATAATTCCTCGTATATAACCCTTGTTTGAGCTCTATTTTGGAATAGTATTTTTTGTAGAATATGTTTAATAAATAAGAAAAAAAAATTGATTTGCATGTAAAATTATTTTATTGAATAATGTGTAGTTGAAAATGAGAATCCGTTTTGGTTAGTGTTTCAATTTTTAATTTTGAATTCATTTTCGATTTTTCTATTTTGAGAGTTTATTTTAAGATTACTAAAAATGATTTTGGTTTGTCAAATAAAATAAATTAAGTTCAAAATATATGAAAAAATAAAAATTAAAGAAGTGAATCAAGAATATTTTTATTTGTGTTTGTTTAATTTTTTTTTTTTTTTTTTTGGATTTTGAAGTAAATAATTAGTAAGAGTTTGAATTATTTTCATTTTTATTTTTCTAGAAATTTTATTCATTCCAAATTTTTATTTTTATATTTTTAGAATTATTTTTTCAAAATTTTAATTTTTTTTTAGAATTTATCGGTTTTATTTTTTGATTTTTTTAAATTTTAGAATTTACATTTCTATTTTTTAAGATTTTTAACTTTATTTAAATAAAATTTTATTAAAACGTTATTGTTTTCATGTTTTGAGTGTTTTCATAATTTAAATGGAAAAAGACCCAAAATGTCAAAAATGCGTTTTGAGTTTTATGCTATAAATTTAATCTTATTTTTTAAAATGAATTTGAGTGTCTTTGATGGATATTATTTTAGAAGAATGTATTTTGGAATAATAGATTGATGGAGAATGTGTGGTTGGAAAATAAGGAAAAATTATTGATGTGATGAAAAATATTATTTTATTGAAAAATGTGTGATTGAAAATAAGTAGAAGAATGAAAATGAAAATTTTAATGTGTGTCAAACAAAGCCCCTCATCTCTATTCCAAAAGTCACGTATCACGAGAGGTGTTTACCGTGATACTCACTGTTTTATATAATCGATTGTTTGTTTGAACTTTTTAAATTCTATTTGATACTGTATGAAGAGCCTATTTGATCACTTAAAGCAAACAGACACCAAATTTTCAACATTTTTCATGAAAAATTATACCAATCAAATACAATTAATTATAATTCTCAATAAAATAATTTATAAATAAATCAATTCCCTATAAAATATTTTATTTTTACTCATTTTTCACCTTTACAATGAAACGAAACCTAAGTTTTAAATTTCCATCCTCAAATATCAATTTTTTTTGGTTACTTGATTATTTCCAATCATTAGGTGGCACAGTGCACAGCCTATGACTTTTTCGAGCCAAAAAGAGTCGTGTACTTTACGTTTTCTTTGACAAGAAACAGTGTGATTACAAGCAAGTGTGAAGGAAAATATACAAAAAGATATCATTGTGTGGACAACACACACAGTGGAGTAAAGAAAGGCATTAATTCGAATAGAACTCTCCATAAATTTCTTCTCTTGGTTGAATCAATCAATATTGAAAAGTCTTTCACTATAGTAATTATTTGTGTATATGTCAATCAATCTATCGTATCTGCCATGCCAAAATTTCAAGATTTTCTTTGTCTCTAGACTAAAATTTTTCATCATTTTTTAATGGCATGTTTGCCGTTAATCTATTATTTCAAAATGAATTTTACACAAAAAATGAGACTCAAATAAAATCTTAATTTTTTTTTCAAATTTATTTTTAACAATATATTCTTCCAATAAAATAATCTTATACATAAAATCAGAATTTTTTTCTTCTCTTTAATCGCATATTATCAAAAAAAAAAAAAAAAAA